CTCGGGCTCAGTTTGCCCCTGTTTGGGTCATACACCGGCATTCAGACTTCTGTTATCCCTCTTTCAATCATGAAGTCTCGTAATCTTGTTAGTGCCAATATCACGTGTTCGGGATCGATTGTGTTCCTGTCATTGACCCTCGTTACTAGGAAGCACAGATATTTGCCCGGGACTTGTGCCACTGACGGTGGAAGCGCTGCCATTCCTCCCAGTCCTGGTCTCTGTCTGAACAGAAACTCTACATTCTGGTACTCTCTTTTGAAGTCAGCTTCCAATCTTGATTTGAAACTCATGTCCGCCGTGATGCAGATCGCGCTGGTCCTGTTTGACAGGATGAAGTCGCTATCCGTTATCATGATGTTCTCCGAGTATTCGTTGGGTATTTCGAATTTCGTTTTGAAATTCCGACCTATAGTAGGCTCTGGCTCTTCTTCCTCCAGTTCCAATTCGCTCGTTTCTCTCACTTCCTTGAGCTTCTTTATCATCAAATTTTCGGTGTGGGTAAGTCCTACCCCCACTCCCCGGACAAAAATATTTATCGACGTCCCCGTCGATGTTGTCGGGTCTGAATTGTCCTGAGGAATGTCCAGTGGCCTGTCTGTTGCCGTCCATCCGAAAAGAGGGTCCTCTGTCTTCATGTAATTTGCTGCTGATACATCGACTTGCTGAATGCTTTGTCCTTCGCGGCTCTCGTCTTTGACATCACGCATCCACTCTAGAATCCTCAAGTTCGTGTTCTCCCTCCTCTCTATCTCACTCTGTTCGAGATCCGTTTCTACTTCTGGCGTCGAGTAATCATCCTGCGGATAATGACCACCATCATCAATGACCTGCCATTCCTCTCCGGCTTCCAGTTCGCCTGCCTTCAGTAATTCCTCGCCCAAATTGTCTGGCTGTATCCTATCGATCAAGAAGTCATCCCCGTACCTGTTGTACCTCATGCCGGTGCGTTTACGATTGCCAGTCCTGGTTTCCGGTGGTGTTGGTCGATCCGGCTCCATCCACTTCGGCACCTCGTCTTGCTCCGGGTCGTTCCAGTCTTCTTCTACAAATGATCCTGCATCAGACCCCACTCCTATCTTTTCATTGTCGTCCAAACTCAAGTTCTCATTACCATCATTTTTCTCTCGAGTACCTTTCTCATTCACTTCACACGCTGGCTCTACCACCAGGTACTCAAGACCCTCCATGTCCTTCGGTATGCACCAATCCTCTGGGGACGGGACGTGAGGCTTCAGATTTTCATAATGTGCCGCTCGCCCAGTACTCAAGCGATAGAACCGTTCTTGTTGATGAACCTCCGTTATCATGAATGGTCCCCTCCACTTCTTGAGTAGTTTCTTTGTTCCCTTGGGCGGTATTACATTTTGGAAGACCCACACGTATTGGCCCACTTCATATGGCTTTGCTCTTAATATTTTTTCGTCGTATTTCCTGCGTTGCCTCATTTGCGCTTGCGCCGTGTTCCTCCTGCATAGCTCGTTCAACTCCTGTTGTCTTTTGATCGCTTCTTTCACGTATGCCTGAGGCGACGTCCTTTTCCCCTCGTATTCCGGGTAAAAGAATGTCAGAGGCATTGCTCTCTCCCTGCCCGTCAACATCATGAAAGGACTGATGCCCGTAGTTGAGTGCTGTGTACTGTTGTAGGCTCCTACTACCTGTGGCAGGTATTTGTCCCAGTCCGTCATGTATCTTGAGCAGTACACCCTTAACATGTTGACCAGTGTCCTGTTTTGTCTCTCTACCAACCCATTGGTCTGCGGGTGATAGGTCGTCGAGTGTGCTTGAGCAATGTGCGATCTCTTCATCAATTCTTTTGTCAAGTCCCCCACAAAAGCTTTGCCGTTGTCCGACTGGAAAGTCATTGGACAACCATACCGCGATATCCAATGCGTTATCAGATGATCACATGTCTCTTCGGCCGAGGCTGTCTGGCACGGAACCGCTTCCGCCAACTTTGTGAAGTGATCTATTATAACCAGTATCTGGTTGTATCCCGACTCTGTCATGCAGATTTTTTGATGGTCTATCTGCACCACTTCATTGAACTCCGAGCTCTCAACGGACTTGAGGGGAAACTTCATCTTCCTTGGGTCTTTTACCTGGAGACATGCCAGGCAGGCATTCACCCATCTCTCGCAAGCTTTTCTCATTCCTGGCCAATCAAATCTGTGAAGTATCCTTTGTTGTACTTTGTCTATCCCCTGGTGACCCATCTGGTCGTGTGATCTGAAAAGCACCTCTGTCTGGTACAATTGTGGTAGTATGATGAGGTTGTGTTTGTGTAATATCTTTTCCTCATCTCTCCTCTTGCACGCTACCACTCCATCAGCTGTGTGATAAAGTAAGTCTTTCTTTTCTTTGTAGAACTGGCTCAAGATCTTGTAGCTGTCTTCCTCAAGTTCCCCCTTCTCCTTGACCCCCGACTGGATCCAATTGGAGAGGTTACTTGTCATTTTGTCATTCTTCTGGGCTCTTATTAGGTCTGACAGCCTATATCTTGCCTTGACATGCTCCTTTAGCGCCATGATCTGTCCATTCATCTCACCAGGGTTGTGGATGTCATCACTCAGTTTCACGCATATCATCCTTTTCACGATTTTCATATCATCTTCTGGCACCAGATTCGTTCTGATGTTCGAGTTGCATGATAGTTCCCTGAATGGTTTCCTTGCGACCGCAATTTTCTCAAGTTCCTCACCACCTCGCATCTCCTGTATGTCCATGTTGTATGTTCCTGAAGATGGATCCGTCTGTAACTCCCTGTCGTGGTGCCTTGTCTTCTCTTCCGCCAGTATCATGCACAGACTGTCCTGGTTTTCGCTGCTCTCATCCGAGTCTTCATCCATCCTTCACGCTCCCCGGACAATTTTCCTTCTCCGGTTCCTTCTTCCGTGAACCTGGAACGCTCCCCGGACTCTTGACCTAGTCCCAGGTGTTCAGTATCTTCCTTGAACGTCACTTTCTTTTTCCTAACCTTATCCTAACCTTGGGGATTTTGTCAACTAGTGACCGCACGACATCTTTGCTGTCAGTGACGCTTCCTCTTGATGAGTCAGTATCGTTCACTGTCTCTTTTCTCCGAAGTATAGTGAATTCCGGTTTCTCTTGACCCTTCTCCTGGATCACGGGCTTATCATCTGATAGTTTCTCGAGCAACCTCATTAAGTCATCATCTATCTGTGCAGTTCCTGCTTCCACCTGGTTAAGATCATAGCCTTTTGCCTTGAGCGTCTCCTTCGCGATCTTCGACTTGAGTATAATCTCAATCGGAATCCTCTTGCTCTTCCTCAAGATGGTCTTCTCTGGAGGCTCTTTAGGCAATTCAGGATGATCTTCTATCGGTTTGCCTGACTTGTCCAGCCATCTCGTGAGTGGAAGACTGTCGTACGTTTCCTTGTCCATGAATGAGAAGCCATCTTTGATTTCAGGTCTGTCTGCTTCTCTTTGCTCTTGTCTCTCATAGAACTCCGTCTTCTTACTCAAGCTGTCGGCATTCTGATGTTTATCTCGCGTTCTATGCTCAATTATCATGTTGTATCCGTCCAGGCGAACTATCCACCTCCCAATGTAACTTTGGTCCATTGAGTACGTTTTCAGCCAGCTCAGTGCTCTGTTGTCGACTCGCAACTTGAATGGCTCACTGCCCAGGTATGCCCTGTATTTCTCGACAAAGGTAACCACCGCGAACATCTCAGCTTTCGGTGCTCCGTACTTCATTTCCGTGTCACTCAGGACTTTGCTCCCGTACGCTATTGGTCTCAAGACTGTCTTCCCATTCCATTCTTGTTCTTGGTGGAGAATCCCAGAAATCGCGACCACCGACGCATCCGTGTCCAGCACGTACATCCCTTTCTCAGTCGGCATACCCAGTACTGGTGCCTCACATAGCTCTTTCTTTATCCTCTGGAATGACTCTTCTGCTGCGTTGTTCCACGTGAACTTCTTGCCCTTGTGTCTCATTAATTGTTGCATCGGGTATACCTTGTCTGCATAGCCTTTGATGAACTCTCTATAATAGTTAGCGAAACCCAGGAAGCTCATCAACTGGTGCTCTGTCTTCGGTGATTTCCAGGTCAGGACTGCTTCCACGGCGTCCGTATCAGGTCTGATGCCGTGCTTGTCTACCATCCTGCCCAAGTATTTTATTGAGTCCTTGAGTATCTCGCACTTTGATGGTTTACACTTTAGCCCCGACCTCTTCATGCATGCAAACACTTCGTCTAGTCTCTCAATGTGGTCTTCCAGTGTTGGCGTCGCTATTACCACGTCATCCACGTAGCACATTACCAGGTTGCCATACTTCTTCGTTACGCCTATCAGCGCGTGTGCCATCAACCGCTGAAACGTGGCTGTGGCATTGCAAAGTCCAAACGGCATCCGTTTCCATTGAAACAGACCCAACTCGCAGGCAAACCCTGTCTTGTCCCTGTCTTGCTTCCTTAGTGGTACTTGCCAAAAGGCCGAGCCTAAATCAAGAGTCGTAAAAAATTTTGCATCACCTAACTTCGAGAGGCTCTCATCAATCCTAGGTATGGGATAGGCATCCTTCACCGTGACGGAGTTCAGGTATCGAAAGTCACAACAAAACCTCAACTGGTCGCCTTTCTTTTTGGCCATCACTACTCCACACGCCCACGGTGACTTGGATGGTTCTATCATGTCGTACTCTAGTAACGTCTCGATCTCTTTTCTACACGCGTCCGATTTGTGTGGGGTCATGCGCCTCGCCCCCTCCCTGTGTGGTACCGCGTTTTCCTCAAGTTCTATTTCATGCTCAACGAAATTACAACACCCGATATCCGCCTTATGCCTCGAAAAAACTTCCTCGTTCCGCTCTAGTACGTCCTTGATGGCTTCGAGCTGTTCATCTTTCAGTTTGCCCCTCAAATGTTCAATCTCCGGCAGGACCGGTTTTTCTTTTTGCATTTCATCTAGTGTGGGTCGCTCTGGAAAGTTCGAACAGCTCGAAAGACCATCATCCGTTTCTGACTTAAGTGATTTAATAAGACCTGAAGAATCTTTTATTTTCTGCAATCGTCTCAAGATACAAATTTTGTCCCTGTGATTGGGACAATCAACAACTTCATTTTGTTTTGAATTCTCAATTGTTTCATATCGAGTTTTAACCGGTAAAGCATATCCCAGTTTCCTCCCTCTTTGTATCGTGATCGGTATATCAAGGGTATTCAACAAGACACTGACGCAGAGGCCGCTCTTCGTTATCGAAAATGATCTTCCTAAAACAGCAGCACTTTGACTATTAGGATTCGGAACTATGCACACTTGCTTGTTGTCACTTAGTTCATTGTAATTTTTCATCCTCAAACTTACGATTGCCGCTTCATTAGCTTTTAGCCTCACCCTCCTACTCAAGAATACCGGTGCTTTGTTTTCATTTGCCATTATTAAATTTACCGGTTTGATTGCGTACCTCCTATCCGGGTTCCGTATCCTGAACATTGCGTTATTTAAATCAATCGTTACGTCGAAATTCCTGATGAAGTCTCTGCCCAAAATGAATTGGTCAGATTCATCTAGGTTTTCTACCACGATAAAGCTCATCCACAGGTTACGTTCCCCCAAATTGAGGGCTATTATCGGCGTCCTGCCCAGCACCCGTAGGGCCTCTTTGTTTGCAGCTGACAGCCGTATTCTCGAGTCTATCAAGTCACCTTTGTCAATGCCCATCTTCTCCCAAGTTTCGATTGGTATAACGCTCAAGACTGCTCCCGTGTCAAGCAACCCACGCAACTGAGTCTTTTTGCCACTTATATCCAGCACGTGCCCTGTCACATCTGCCTCCGTCCCGATGTGCATTGCATCTTCCTCAAGCATGGCGCAGTGTCCAATCGATCTCACTTTCAATTCTTCTTTCCCTACGTAGATTTGTCCAATTAGGTCTTCGTCACATGTTATCATCGTCTTGGTATAGATGTTAATCCCATCTATATTTAGCATCACCTCGTGTGGACCGTAAGCTTCAGTATATCTGCTATCAACACGTACCGACTTGCTGCCCCCTCTCATGAGTAGTGCTCTCAGTGCTCTAGAAGTCGTTTGTGGGCTTATACCACTCAAATAGTCTGCATACACGTCAATGTGCATTATTGTCTGGTCGCTCGGCTCGCTCAAGTTTCTGGTTACCTCGTGGCCGCCCACTGTGATTATCGACATTATCCTTGCCCCGATTTTCGATATGCCAAAAGGCTTACCTGTCACCATTTTCACAGTATTGCAATTCCCGGTCTTTGTTGAGCCCGGTACAGCCTCTGGTATTTGTTTCGATCCGGTTAATGCTTCGTTAAAATTCTGTCTTTCTATCTCCAGCTTTAGTCGTTGCTCTATTTCTTTCGCTGCCAGATCCTGTTTCACTTTGGCAATTGCTTCCGTCGCCGCTTTCTCATAATTTATCTCTAGAGATTTCCTGGCCGCGGATTCTATCGTACCGTTAACACTGTTTTCGTCGGCAATTCGGTGTTTGGTGCCCCTAAGTTCCTAGATTCAAACTCGTTTTGCCTATTCCGCTGATTCTGTACCGCCGCTAATGCCAACTTATGTTTGGGGTGATTCTGGTCCTTGACCGCTTCCCAGAACAAGGGACAATCCATTCTGAAGTGCCCCTCCTGGTTACAGAAGAAGCATCTGGCGCCTATCTTGATGATTAAGCCATTATAGTACTCGTGTTCCTCCATCTGGCTCATGTCCTCCTCATCCGGTGCGTATCCTAGGCTCTTCATGCCTTGTTTGTATGTTGTGCAGTCAGCCACGTGGTGATCCGCCGACCCGCAGTTCGCGCATGATCTGCGCTTGTCCATGTCATCTCTAGGCTTGTACCATGACGACCTCTGGGGTTGACTTCCCCCCTGTGTGTTCCTGTTTTCTGTATATGAGTATTTCTTGGGTTTCATCAGCATGTATTCCCTTGATTTCTGTCTCATTTCTTCTGGGGTTGGTGCGCTGTCTTTCGACAATGTGTAGTATGTTGCTAACATTGTCCTTAAGTCGTAATTTTTTACCCCATCAATGAACTTCGAGGCAATGCTAAAGTTTCTTCTGTTTGTCGACTCCTCTGGGTCACTCCTTCTTCTCAAGCTCTCGAGATCATCTAGGAACCGATCTATTGACTCGTCGTCCCTCTGCCTTCTCTTTTCAAATCGCAACATCGCTTGGTGACCCTTCATGCCTGACCCGAATCGATTCAGCAATATCTCGAAGATCTTGTCCGCGGTATCGCGTTCTTCTTCTTTCTTTGCAACCACGCATTTCAATGCCGTGCCTTCCAGGTTACTGAGTATGGCTGTGCATGCTTGCCTTTCATCATTTAAGTTATCTTGTTCTAGATGTAATCTCATCACTTCCACCCACGTGTCAATGCATCCATCTGAGTCGTCTTTGAATTCTTTTGGCTTCTTGAAAGTTTTCCTTGATTTTCCGTCTCTCCTATCGCTCGAGTTAGTGTTCCTCGTGGCGAAGGCCTCTAGAGTCCTGTTCATCATCTCCAAAGTGCTTGCCCATGTCATGGCATCCGGACCTGCGTTGCTGCTAGCTGTTGAGTCCCCCGGACCACTCGTTGTTTTTGAATTCCCACTTTTCATGATTGTTTTATCAGCCGTTGGTGCTATGCTCACCGTATTCCGGGTTAAGGGCAACGGTGTCGATTGCCGTTTGCCCCTTTGTGGTTCCACAAAGTCAACTCTGGTGCCTTGCGTGCGATCCGCTGCCGGTCTTTCTTGTGAGGTAGAATTTCTCAAGATTGCATCCAATTTCGTCTGTATTGCACCTGAACTTTCGGCCTGATTCTTGCTCATTGTGTCCAGCCTCTTTTCCAGGCTACCTATTTGGCTGTTGACATCATCATATCGGTTTTTCAACTGTTGCAAATCTTTTTTGATGTTCCCTTCTTGTTCTTTATTGGTGGCTTCTACCTTATCTGTCATCTCCTTGAGTCTCTCGTCTGTTACCTTAGCCAGGTTAAAATAACTATCCAGATACTCGTGTTTGTTGTATCCTAATTCTTTTCTTATCACTTCTCTGTCCTCTTCGCTGTGCTTCAGCTTTTTGTCGATCTGATTCAGTTTTGCCATCAAGTCACCTAGCTCAAGAGTAGCCTCTTCATGGTCAGCCGTTGATCTTTCTTCGGCCGTTGCTTCTGCTTTAGTTTGTTCCTCTCTCGGATTGGCTTCTGTCGTCTTCGTGCTCACTGTCCCAAATGTTCGTGCTCTTTCAGCTTTTGGTTCTTCAGTCACGTTCTCTTTCGTTTTTATTCCGACCATCATCGCCAACCTTTCTGTAAAAGATGTCTTTTTTACTTGGGAGTCTTCTTTCACCGTTTCTTCGGTGTTGCCTATTGCATCTTCCACATCGTCTATTGGTGAGAACTCTATGGGTTTCTGGTTTGGTTCTTCTGCATTGGGCATTGGAGTTGACTCCGTCGTCTTCTTCTCCAGTTCATCTACGCTTTGATCGGGTGTCTCTAGATCAATCTCGATGGTGGGTTCCACTCGTTCCCCTTCCGTGCCCTCTTTTGCCCTGTTCTCCGCTGTACTCCTTGTGCTGACCATGTTAACTGAAAAGTTCTTCTTTGTTATCTTTGGGCCCATTGATGTTGTTTTGCGTAGCGACGCATTATACTTTGCTTCGGTAGGTCTTTTTTCAGCTACCGGTACCCTGCTCCGCCTCATTATTTCTATTTACAATTGCTCTTATTTACAATTTTACTATATACACAATCCTATTCTAAGAATAAAATCTTTCGAGAAAAAAAAATATTTCTTAAAAAAATATATACAACGTGGTGAAAACCTTGTTTCAGTTCTCTTTATTAACTTTTCGAGAAACTTTCCTTATTTGTGGTCTCAACCGTACCTGGTTCCAATTAGTCTTGTTCTATCTTAATTCTGTCTTAAAACACTTCTTGTAATTTTACTTCAATTTTTATACTGTCCCAAGACTTCCAATTGCCGTCCCTACTCTTCTTTGTACCGTCCCAGGCTTCTTTCTCCTGTCCCAAGACTGTTCGGTACCGTCCCAGTACTTTCCGGCCGTGTCCCAAGACTCTTGTCCAAGACTACTGTCCCAAGGCTAGTGTCCCAAGACTACTGTCCCAAGACTAGTGTCCCAAGACTAGTGTCCCAAGACTACTGTCCCAAGACTAGTGTCCCAAGACTACTGTCCCAAGACTACTGTCCCAAGACTACTGTCCCAAGACTAGTGTCCCAAGACTAGTGTCCCAAGACCAGTGTCCCAAGACTAGTGTCCCAAGACTAGTGTCCCAAGACTACTGTCCCAAGACCCCTGTCCCAAGACCCCTGTCCCAAGACCCTGTCCCAAGACCCCTGTCCCAAGACCCTGTCCCAAGACCCTGTCCCAAGACCCTGTCCCAAGACCCTTGTCCCAAGACCTTGTCCCAAGACCCTGTCCCAAGACCTTGTCCCAAGACCCTGTCCCAAGACCTTGTCCCAAGACCCTGTCCCAAGACCCTGTCCCAAGACCCTTGTCCCAAGACCTTGTCCCAAGACCTTGTCCCAAGACCCTGTCCCAAGATCCTTGTCCCAAGACCCTGTCCCAAGACCCTGTCCCAAGACCACTGTCCCAAGACTGTACTGTCCCCAGACTGCTCTGTCCTAAGACTTCTTCGGCACTGTCCCAAGACTGTTGACAAGTGTCTGGGTGGTGGGACTTCTTTCCTCTTCGTTATGGGGACTTCTTGATTCGCCGTACCTTGTACCACCACTCAAGCTCTAGTAAAATTTTCCCAAAATCCTCTCTTAAAAGCCAAATGCTGACCCCCCTTTTTCTTATTTCTCTTTTTGGCTACCTCTATTTCAATGTTCCAAGTAACTTGAGACCAAAACCTGTGCGCAGGTATCTTGTGATCACCTGTTCGTACAAAATTTTAACACAAATCCTCACCAAAATGCAACAAAAATCTAAGCAAGAAAAAGTAATAAAAACAGAAAGATGAGCCCACCTAAAATTCAAGGGTGACAAATGTCTACCTTCTATCG